CTTTCTTTCTTTCTTTCTTTCTTTCTTTCTTTCTTTCTTTCTTTCTTTCTTTCTTTCAAGCTGAAATATAATTTGTCAGCAAATCACCATTCCACAGGAGGAAAACAAAAAACTACGATTGTATATGTTGCTGTTTTACCAGTACATAAAGGTGCACATACAGTAATCTTGATGCAATCTTATATATAAATCTATTTTTAAAATTACTATAGATATTTTAGTTCCATTATTAATTTCAGAACTGCTCCTGATGAATCAAATTTAGTAGCATTAGAATGCAGTGCTTGCTTAACAGCAACCTTGAGCATTACCTATTTCTAGAATCTTCAGCAGGAATTTTAAAGTAATATAATTTAAGCTGTTACAAGCATAATATTCATAAATCCATGAGTACTAATTGACACCATTAAAATATGCCACTGTGTTAAAGATCTGACCAAAGGAACACAATAGAACATCAGACCAAGCATATTATGTATAACAATCCTGCTGGTGTGAAATTACCTGAAGCATTTGAAGTCTGACAGTATGAACCTGCCAGATTTAACACTTTACATTTAAATATTCCTTACACATACTGTTCTAATCCAAAGTAAATGTAAATACAAACCGAATGGATATTTCTTCCAGAGTTGAATCATGATTGCAGGCAGTGTATCTGCACAGGACTGATTTGTTAAGATTCTGGAAACAAACACAAAAAAGAAACTGCAGAACAAATGTTTCTATTTGCTTGTAATAATAAAACAGATTTCAGCAAAGGAATGTAACTGAATATATTGGTTATGGGAATTTTCGACTGTTATATGTACCAGGTAAGAAGCTTTGAAATTTAGAAATAAAAATGTAATCACTTTCTTTTACTTCTATATTTTTTTAATGTAAAAGACCACTTTAAAACATAGTAAAATGTGCACGGAGGCTTCCCTAATCAAGCTTTATATCTGTGTTCACTTGGCTGCAGGAAAATTACTTGAATCCCTTTTCTATAGTAATTCTTTTTAGTAGCTGTACCCTGAGCTCATGTACACATGAAATTTATCCCTTGTTTCCAGAAACAGCTCTATTTACCTCTAGGCAGCCATAAGACCCAAACCATTGATACAAAATACACTTCAAGGATCAGTAAGCTTTCCTTTAAGCAGTAGCTACAGGTGATTCACTCTAGGTAAGCAATAATCTCCCCTCCTGTAGTAAAGTGCAGCCTATGTATCATGTAATGTGGTAATGACTGGTTACTGTAAAATAGATCGGTCTCCATAAGAAGGTGCACCAATGAACATGTCCGCCTGGCAAGGAATTTATTTTTCACTGTGGGGGAGTCATGCATTATCATGTTCAAGTAGTACATCTGGGATTTCCTGTTCATTTCCAACACAGGGATCTGCTGCCACGCCGTTAGAACTAATGTCATACATTCTTCTACACTTTGGCTTCGAGCTGGCATTCACTTTTTGGACAGTAAATTTACTTTCAAAATTTATCTCAAAGGAGTTTGTGTGTGTGTGTGTGTGTGTGTAATTCTCATGGGCCGAATGTGGTGTTCTTACCTAGTTGTGTAGCATAATACAGTCTGTTAACATGTCTTGTGTTGCACTGTACAATCATCTCTCCAGTGGTCTTCTATCTCCCTGACATCATGTCCTTAAATTAAATTCCAAGGAAAGGCAACTCCATCCATTGGGCCTTTTCAGATTGGAAAGTGTGGGCAGCTAGGAAGACCTTAGGGATGAAAAATTAGGCAACAGCAGATAATATCAGCAATAGCACTTCTACCTCCAAGTAGTGGAAGTAAGCGCAAGAGCACAACCATGAGAAATTTGAAATAATTTTCAACAGTTCTGAAAATGAGGTGGAAAAACAGAAGCTTCTTTCACACGCGGAAAAAAAAAATGTTGTGATTTCAGCAGCGGTACTTTGAAGTGCCACTAGACAGTCTCTCTCGCTGGGAAAACAAGCTGCATTATTATTGGTGAGACCATTTTGTAGGGTTTTTGTTGTTGTTGTTGTTTTTACCTTATATTACCATTATAAGTTCTGATGTTCAGATCCAAGTGATAACAGGGTCCCCCCCCCCCCAGTTTTTTTCTGCTTGAATGTGACTGTGAAACTTAGGGCCACTAAAGCTTTTTTTTTTGCAGAACTGAGTTTCCTCATTCATTAAATACTATTTTCAATAACAAGGTCAATATAAAACAGAGGTTGTTGGACTGGATAAATCAGAGATGGTAGCGGAAAGGAAAAGTCAGCTTATAAAACAACTGGATATGGTTTTGGGGAAAAAAATATGCATTAGGGAAAAAATATTATGTTTGATCAGACCCATTTGCTTCTCTTCCTCTTCCTCTTCCTTTTCTTCCTCCTCCTCCTCCATCAAAATATAATACTGTGGTCCGTTTGGTTGCTGTGTATAAGTCTTTGATCGAAACAAGTATGTAAATGAGCCAAAACTATTTTTTGAAGATAATTGAATGTTTCTTTATGGGGGCTGTTCTAAGGAAAAGGAAAAGGAAAAGGAAAAGGAAAAGGAAAAGGAAAAGGAAAAGGAAAAGGAAAAGGAAAAGGAAAAGGAAAAGGA